AGAGAGAGAGAGAGGTCCAGAAACGAGAAATCTCTCTCGCATATCGAGGACGTTATCTTCGCGAAAATTGCGTTTACAGTTCAATGTCTGCGGGCGGAATTGCAAGAGAGGAGGGTGGTAAACAGGAAACGCTTACCGCTTCATCGCGAATACGCGAGGATTTACATTTCCGTCTTTGAAACGAATTCCATCTCTATCGCTATCAAAACGCGCGCTTCCTCATTATGCCGAGCCGCACATTTTACAGATCATCGAAACGCGCCTGAGAAGACGCTTAAAATAACGATGTAAGAATTCACAAAAATCATATATCAATCACATCGTTAATCTCTAAGATACATAATGTAGAAGAGAATGTAAAAAAAAAATAATGACCATTGATGTCGCTAATAGCTTGTCGCTAATGAAAAGATTTATTTTCCATTTATCATCACGGGAACACTATTGATGCCACGTCATTAGCAATTATTCAACGATTTTCGCACGCGTTTTACTTATGCCTGTTCCGAAACATTATCGCGCTTAAGCTACCGGAATGCCCATGAAAAGACGCAAAATTGACGTTTCCACACATTGGCGTGGTCTACATACCGGGGTTGATGGATCAACCGACTTCCCCAGTCGCACATTCGTGAATTAGCCACACGTTAGAGCGGCCGGCTCGCTCGTCGAACAGGTGTTCGTCTGGTGTAGGTTTATCCGTTGTGTATGAAAAATGTTCGACGGTTTCTTGCGGTTTTGTATCCACGCTTGATTTTCCGACCATTTCCCGCAACCACGGTGCTTTCCATGTGATTTATACGCCGTGAACATCACGGGGAATGTTCGAGCGGCTTCCTACCGTTCTTTTTCTCTCCCTCTCGCCTGGAGGATATGGTGCGATCGTGAAAAATCGTTTCCGGGGTGCCGCGAAGTGGTGCCGTTTTTTTGCGAAACCACTTGTAAATTCGCGATGACGCAATTACCACCGGTGATGCTCGCGTGAAGTCATCGTGTTACGCGCGTGTTTAGGAATCTATTTAAATTTCTTCCGTAACGTGCCTTCCGCCGAAGCGTTTGGTCACCGCTAAAACTTCCGCGCGTCGTTAATAATAAAATCAAAATTACGCGTTTGACTCGCGCGGAATGGTAGAATATGACTAATTTAAACATAATTTATGCTTTTTTTTTTACAGCAAAGATGAAACATCTTTGGCCGTTGCTGACGTGGATACTTCTATCTTCGTATCCGGTAAGGAGACAGTTTTCTAGACATTTTAATTCCTTTGAGAAATAATTCCTTCCTGAAAGCGAAGAAATTAATCAACTTATTTCTACTTTTCCATTTGACTTAGAGATCATTAATTAAATATAAAAAATTATTAAGCTGTATAGAATGCAAATATGATTAATAGACATAACAAATACGTTAAATTAACAAATAGACAATTGAATTGTATATTGATGATATCCAAGAGAAATAAAATCCATTCCGCGATCTTTCAGGTCGAATCTCGTAACGGACTCGGCCGTGGATCGAGGCGAGAAGTATTCTTCTTGAATCTCGAGGACGGCTACTTTGGCTGCCAAGTCAACGAGTCGACGGACGTCCTTCAGCTGCTCGAGCTCTCGAAGCTCTGCGACCATCGCGCCGACTGCTATCAGGGCGCAGACGAGCAGCGCAACAGGTTAAAGTGTACAGGTGAGTAACCTTTGGGAGAAAAAGACATTTCCTCTCGGAGGAAACCTCGTCAGGCAATTCGTCAGGAGTAATCCCGTGCCACCTCGCCGTGGCAGGAAAGGGTGACGTCGCACGACATTCGCGACGCACCCGTCGTTAACATTTCCGTTGTTTCTTCACGTCATGCCGTCGTTCTCGATGTCATTATGGTCGCTAAGTAATTTTCCTTCTCGCGTCGTACACAAACCGCAGGAACGCGTTAAGCGTCACGTCTCGTCGGGTCAATTAAGGGAGATCTCTTCTCGCGTCATTATTTCACATTGTACCGAGTCACGCCCGCGAGTCCGCAATTAGCCGCGGAATTTTATTCTCATTTTCCATAGACGTTATCTTCGCGGAGACCGTAATTGACGTTGCCGAGACGCTGATGAGCCGATGGATCACGTTACTCAAATCTTCTGAACGTATCGCGGCTTCGCGGCCTGTGAGAAAAACTTCGATGTTCGACCGGCGATTAGGCCTGGCGAGAGAAAATTGCGCGATTAGTCGATGGCTTATAGTCGCAATTTATCCGCCCCTTTTTCTTGGATAATCTTACTTAATGGCCAACAAAAATGGCTCGTGCTTCTCGTACAGGATATTTCTTTATAAATGAATATATCACATTGCTCGCGCGCATAGATAAAATCGTTAACTACTTATCTACGTAACTAAAACTAAATTTTAATTCATATATTAAAATATAAAAATCAGTATCATTTACTTAAAAATATTAATAAATATTTTTTGCGAAAATTTAAAAAGATATATATATAGATTCGCAGATTTCTCTTGTAATGTAAAGTATTAAAATCAAAACTAAGGTATATTCTAGCATGAAGCATAATATAATAAATTTATTCAAAATTAAAAAAAATTGCAGACGACTGTACAAAAGAAGACGGCACCAAATGTCAAAACGGTGTCTGTCTGGATTCGGTCTGTCACTGTAACGATGGATTTGGAGGATGTAACTGTCAAGTTCCAGGTTTGTTGAATTATTCATGTCATTTTGTCATACTGTCGTTTACTATGAAATCTTATTTAATACTCATTTAGCAATAAGCATATGCATTTTTTACATGCGAACCATTTGGATTAATACAATGTAACTATACGCTACACATATATGTTCTATTAAATCTTATCTAATTACATAATAAACGCTAATCTATAATAATTTATATAAACAACTGAATTAAAAATTACAGACGAGAACGAGTGTAAATATCGGCCCTGTGATATATTTGCCCACTGTACAAATACTCTTGGCAGCTTTCAATGTTCCTGCTTTCCCGGATACCAAGGCGACGGCTTTCATTGCGAGGGTAATTATCCCTTCGTGCGTTAAACAACAGACCGTGGGCCTGTTTCGTTAACGATATGAGCTAACGATGTTACGTACGTAGATATCAACGAATGCGACGATCCAAAGATCGCCGGGCGTTGCGTCGAGAATGCCGAGTGTTGCAATCTACCCTCGAACTTCCTGTGCAAGTGCAAATCCGGCTACATCGGCGACGGCGAGGTGCATTGCGAGGACGTGGACGAGTGCACGATACCAGGCGCATGCGGCGACAATACCGTGTGCCACAACACACCCGGCAATTATACTTGCACGTGTCAGGACGGATTCACGGGAGACCCGTTCAACAGCGTGAGTATATCGACGATGAACGCGAAGCCAAGAAAAAGACAAGTTGGAGATTAAAGTGGATAATAACACGTTTGCGACTCAATTGTCTTATCGTGGAAATTTTTTTGAGTATTTATCCGATACGTTGGAAATATTAATTTTAATAATCACAATTATTTGTTACGACGAAGGACCTTCTGGAGGATGTAAGTTGGTTAAAACCAACGTTTTTTATTTGAAAGTATATATTGACAAATTTCGACTAAAAATATTTGTATTTATAATTTCGAGCGTGATAATGGTAGTGGTTAAATTATATAAATGACAATGATATAAAGTTTAGGCGTTTGTCATGAAGTTTGTCTAGGTTTTCTTAAATTTTATTATATTAAAAAAATAAAAATTTATTATAAAATATACATTTTTTTATATGTATGACTAACATTAAAAAATATTGATAAATTTTAAATATTGTTCAATTAATGGAATATGTAATTATAGGCTTATTTGTAAAATTTAAATCTGTCTAGTGTATCGATATTGACGAATGCAAATACGAGGGTGCTTGCGGAAGGGGTGCATTATGCGTGAACTTACCAGGCGCGCATAAGTGCGAATGTCCCGAAGGATACGACGGAAGTCCTGAGGAGCAGTGCAGGGACGTCGATGAATGCCTGAGGAGTCCTTGCGGACGTTCCGCTCTTTGCACGAACATACATGGTAGCTTCCGATGTTCTTGTCCCGATGGAATGGACGGTGATCCAATGACAGGTTGCCACGGTAAGTCTCGAGAATTTTCAATAATTACAATTACAACTCATTACAAATGGTGAGTAAAGTCTAAAATTGTTTGTGGCGTGGAAATACCTGGAGTGTTAAATAACTGAGGTGTTATATGTGCATTATTAATCATCACCTAACGTAACATCGTTTACACCATCATGATACAACTTAACGGCAACTTAACAAAGAGTTTATTTCGATCGATGAAAAGTCGCAATTTTTCAAAAATTCAGATTCTGTAGTTAATCTGTATGTATGTGACATATTTGTGACTGACATGACAGCGCGGCTTGAATTTACACATTTCCGCGATCGCGCGTCTCTGTCAAGCCCATTAACTAACCGTCGCCGGCAGATGTGAACGAATGCGAGGAGAATTCGCCCTGCGCCGCGGAATCGGAGTGCATCAACACCGAGGGTAGCTACGAATGTAGATGCCACGCCGGCTACAGGATGGATCCTGCTCACGGTTGCGTCGACGTGAACGAGTGCGTCGGCGGAGACGCTTGCGCGGCCAACGCGAGGTGCATCAACGTCCCGGGCTCGTACAAGTGCATTTGCCCGCTGGGTTTCGTCGGTCAGGGACTAACCCGATGCGAAAGTCAGTCATAGCCAAACTCTCTCATGTAACACCCTTTGTCACACCGCATGCCATAATACTCATCCTGTGATTAACAATGTTGATTAACAGACGTGAACGAATGCGAGCGCAACCCCTGTGGCGAGAACGCCGAGTGCATCGACACGATCGGCAGCTTCGTCTGCAGCTGCAAGACGGATTACACCGGCGACCCTTTCAAGGAGTGCAGCGGTTAGCTTAATAATAATTTCCTTCTCCAACTTGTTTCCCTTCATTCCTTGTTTGGAGATATCTTGACCGCGTGATCTCGATGAGTCGCGGTTTCGAGAACTCCGGGCACTAAAATGCATTGTTTCCACACTAATGTGACTTTAATTTATATTTATCACGACATTTTCTTCATTTTCGCTCATTTGTGCACATTAAAATTTGCTTATTGTTGCATCTATATTCTTTTCAGAGTATAAGATTTTCTGTAATACTTAAGAATCAATTCTGTCTCTTTGCATATTTACATGATCTTGGGATTTTTATTGTTATCACGTATATTCTGTCCTTTCTCTCCTAGATATCAATGAGTGCACGGCTTTGGACAATCCTTGTGGAAGAAATGCGATTTGCAAAAACGAAGTACCCGGTTACAATTGCCTCTGCCCGCCGGGGTACAGTGCCAGCCCCAGTCCGGCAGTAGCATGCGATCAGGTAATAATTCAATAATCTCATTGTGTCCTGTTTGGAGTCATCTCATACATACGTATGCGAACAAGATCTACCATGCGAGAGATATCCCGAGACAAACATTTCAAAGGGAGATCTACTTCATCTCGAGTGACCGGCTGTGACCGGTTTTTTTCTACGAAGGCGACGGATAAAAGAAAGGTGGCAAACAAAACGAAAGTGGCGTCGCGCACATAATAAGACGAACGTGAACCGGTTTAGCTCTTTTCCAAAGCCAAAACTATTTTTGTCACTTAAAAAGAAACTGAGCTCATAGCTCTATTTATTGTGAATGCACATTTCTTATTCGCGCGTTTAGAAAATAATTCTCTAGTCTGGCGGATAGAACCGGTTCTGGTTTTCAAGTATAATTTTGAACACGAGAAGAATTATAGATACGGAATGATAAAGTGTCACATCTTCGTATTATTTTCAGACCGACGTGACGACTCTTTGTAAATCGAATTTCGATTGCGTCAACAATGCCGAGTGCATCGAGGGACAATGCTTCTGCAAGGATGGCTTCAAGGCCGTCGGTGCCGAGTGCGTAGATTTGGACGAGTGTCTTACTAATCCTTGTGGACCTGCGTCGATCTGTACAAATACTCGGGGAAGCTATCATTGCGAATGCGAGTCTGGATTTGTTGGTACTCCACCCCATATACCGTGCAAAGGTAATCTTAATATATTTCCAACATATACATATATTTTCGAAACTAAAATGTTCAAAATGAAACAAAAGAAAGAAAATGTTACAAAAGAATAATTTGCAAATAAAAAAGACTGCAAAGAAAGAAGAATTCCTATTGAATTGAAAAGACATTATTTATCATAATTTTTATTATTATTATATTTTTCATTGCAGCGCCATGCGATGAGGTAACTTGCGGCGAACATGCCTTCTGCAAGGCGGACGGTCACGAAGCTTATTGCATTTGCGAAGATGGTTGGACCTTCAATCCAAACGACATTGCGGCTGGATGTGTCGGTAAGCAAATATTTCTTTGAAAACATTTAGTAATCATTCTGTTATGTATATGGAAATTTCCGCTTATACAAGTAAACTTTTTAATACAATTTTATTTTTGTTATTTAGACATAAACGAATGCGATGCGATAAATGGACCTTCTGGACGATGTGGCAGGAATGCCATTTGCACGAATACACCTGGTGGTTTTAGTTGCCAATGTAAACCTGGATACTCAGGAAATGCCTTCAAGCAGTGTATCGGTAAGATAAATAACTAATAATAATTGTAACTTTTCAAAAATTTATTTGTTTTTATAAAAATTATTAACATAAAATGTTTACTTATACAAAATTGTTAATTCAGTAATTATTTTGCACTTTTTTACTTATATATTATTTTAAATAAATGCAGATATTGATGAATGTATCAAATCCGATGTTTGCGGTCATGGAGCAACGTGTACCAATACCGAAGGTTCTTACACTTGCACTTGTCCAGAAGAAACCATCCCAGATCCCGATCCTTACATCAAGTGCGTCGGCATAGTCAGATGCGAAGTTGATGACGATTGTCCAGGAAACGCTATTTGTGATCCACAGAAGAGATGTCTGTGTCCTGAGCCTAATGTCGGAAACGATTGCAGACGTATGTACATTTTACTCTTAAAAGAATTCAATAAAAATGAAATTAGAAACAGCAGGAATTTTTTTATACTAAATATAAAAGATTTAACTTCGCGCATAATATATCGTCAATCTATAATTTTATCTGTATTTATCTGATCAGATCCATGCGAAGATCTTTCTTGCGGACCCAACGCGCATTGTATGCTCTTGAACGATGTGGCGACGTGCCTTTGCAGCAACGGCTACACTGGAAAGCCCGGAGTGAAGGACGGTTGCCGAGACATTGACGAATGCGCGATAAACCCGTGCCCTCCGGGTGCAATTTGCAACAACGAACCCGGTTCGTTCTCTTGTCAGTGTCCGAGCGGCATGACAGGTGATCCTTACAGTGGTGGTTGTCAAAAATCCAAAACACCTCACGTGTGCGGGCCCAGTGCGCCCTGTCCCTCTGGAGAACAGTGCATCAAGGACGAATTTGTGGGCAGCAGCGTATGCATCTGTCAACGCGGTTACACGCGCGATCACGAGACCGGTAAATGCAGAGACATCAACGAATGTATGGAGCTCAGAGAGAAGCCCGCCTGCGGTGTCAACGCAATTTGCAAGAATCTCCCTGGCAGCTACGAGTGCCAATGTCCGCCAGGCTTCAATGGAAATCCCTTCTCGCTTTGCGAAGGTAGAGCTCTCGATTTGATAATCCTTAATACTTTGATAATATTGTAATTAAAAACCTGAGTAAAAATTTCATTGAAAAATATTGCAGAATGCAACAGTATCGAATGTCAATGTCAACCACCGTACAAGATCGTTAAGGGTAAATGCATGCTGGCCGGATGTTCAAAGGGTGAAAAGTGTCCGAGTGGTGCCGAGTGCATAACGATTGCCGGTGGTGTCAGCTATTGCGCTTGTCCCAAAGGCTACACGACCAAATCTGACGGTTCCTGCGAAGGTACGATAAAATGATTATTTTGAAAAAAATTTTCTTTTTTGTTGTATTTATATAATAATATCTATAAACAGAGATAATAATACGAGCGATAATAATCAATACTTGTCATTTTGTGCAGACATAAATGAATGTATCGTGGGCCATCAAATTTGCGGTTACGGTGCCGAGTGTATCAATCTACCGGGTTCTCATCAATGCGTATGTCCGCACGGATATGGCGGCGATCCGTATAACGGGCTCTGCTCTCCGGCGCAGAAGAGATGTACCAACGATCACGAATGCAAGGCTAACGAGAAGTGCGTGCAACCCGGGGAGTGTGTGTGCCCACCGCCATTCTACACGGATCCGTTGGATGGAAACCTCTGCAAGAGTAAGTCAATAAATATCATAAATATCATCACATCTTACATCTCTAAAACGATGCGTAATTTTAAATAAATTCTACCAGATCCTTGCGACCGTTTCCCGTGCGGTATTAACGCAAGGTGCACACCGAGCGATCCGCCGCGGTGCATGTGCGAGGCTGGTTTCGAGGGTGATCCGCAGCACGGGTGCATCGACGTGAACGAATGCGCGAATAATCCTTGCGGACACGGCGCATATTGCATCAATACGAAAGGAGATCACACGTGCGAGTGTCCCAGAGGAATGATTGGCGATCCTTACGGTGCTGGCTGTACCGGAGTCCCGACTGGCAAGAGCGAGTGCTCGTCGAATGATGACTGCGAAAATTATTTAGCATGCGTTCAAGGAAGTTGCGTGAATCCTTGCGACAATGTGCCCTGCGGTCCGAATGCGTATTGCGAGCCCGATAAACACGCGGCCTGGTGCAGATGCGTGATCGGTTTTACGGAAGGCAAGAACAACGAATGTGTATCACGTGGGTATAAATTTTATACAAATTTTTTTTATTTTAATTTTTTACAGATCTGGATAGTTTCATATTATAAAAGAAGAATTTCAATTAAGCTAGAAAATAACATACGAAATTATTTTAACTTTATTTAAAAATTTTTAAAAGATGCTATGTTGTATTTTAAACGTATTTTGTTTAAATTTGAAAAAATTTGATAATTACTTATAGTGCAAAAGCACTAATTAATTTTAATTTTTCCATGATAATTTTAATAATATATTTTCATTGTTATATAAATCCTCGCTATTTTATATATATCGTGTATGTAAAATGGAATGTTTCTTTTTATTTTAGAATGTGACGGTTTTGTTTGCGGTGGTGGAGCACAGTGTATCGTTAGCTACGACGGACCGACTTGTAAATGCATCGAAGGTTTTATGGGGAATCCTTTCCCTGGTGGACAGTGCGTTCCGGATGTTTGCTCACCTGAAATCCCATGCGCCGAGCCAAGTGTTTGCATCAGCGGACGTTGTAAACGGCGTTGCGAAGGGGTGATCTGTGGCGTTGGAGCCATGTGTGATCCTTTAACAAATAAATGTGTGTGCAACCCTTACTTTGTCGGCAATCCTGACCTGCTCTGTATGCCACGTAAGTATTATAAACAATATCGATAAAAAAAAAGAGGAAGATAATAATTTATTCTATCTGATAAATATTTCTTTGAAAGAAGAAAAATAATATCTTATAGTTTGGAAGTATGCTCCAATTTTAAATTGTATAATTCTTTTTTGTAGCCATTCAGCCACCGCACTGCGATCCATTCTGCGGAAAAAATGCACATTGCGAGTACGGCCTTCAAGAATCAAAGTGTGTCTGTAATCCTGGTACCAGCGGGAATCCTTATCACGGTTGCGGCGTTCAAGAAAAGTCCGATTGCTCTACCGCGGTGTGCGGAAAGGACGCACATTGCAATGCGGGTCCCAACGCTGTCGAGTGTCTCTGTCCATCTGGTTTCGCTGGCAATCCATATATTCAATGTTACGGTTAGTTTCAGTTAATTTTTTCGTGCTTTTATTAATTTAACTCGCTATTAAATTTTTTCTTTAATAAAATACAATTTTTATAAAAATCAAAAATATAAATAATACTTAAGGAAATATTTGAAAAATATAATTGATTGATTTCCCGCATAGCACACTCTCACCCTTTTTTATGGCGTTAAATGTAAATTGTATTAATTATAATAGTATATTTCTTTATTAGATATCAATGAGTGCAACGGAAACGCGTGCGGCAGCAATGCGGTATGCATCAATACCCTCGGAAGCTACGATTGTCGTTGCAAGGACGGTTTCTTCGGCAATCCGTTCGTTGGATGTCAGCAAGTACAAGTAGCTCCATGCGCCGATCCCTCAACCTGTGTTTGCAGCAATAATGTACCATGTCCCTTCGATTACACTTGCGTCGATCACAAATGCGTGAATCAATGCAGCGGCGTAAAATGCGGTCCTAGATCTGTCTGTCAGAACGGAGTGTGTATATGTCCACCTGGTTACAGCGGTAATCCGAACAATCTGCACAAAGGCTGCCATTTGCATGGTCACTGCTCGAATGATCTCGAGTGCGAGCCGCAAGAGATTTGCTTCCAAGTCGGCAAAGGAGTTCGCAAGTGCGTGGATGCGTGCAGCAAGTTGCAGTGTGGACCTAACGCACTATGCGTTACGCAGAACCATATATCCTCCTGCTTGTGCATCGACGGTTATCAGGGCAATCCGAGCAATCTGGTCGAGGGTTGCCAGCCATCCAAATCCGTAATACCTGGATGTGCACACGACTCGGATTGTCCATCAGGTTCCTTCTGCATCGCCTTGGACGGCGGTGTGCGCGATTGCGTAAATCCCTGTAGCAAGGTGGTTTGCGGCGCCTATCAGAAGTGCGAACCCGACGTCGTACCTGGTCACGCCACCTGCAAATGTCAAGACGGTTACGAATGGAATCCGGTGCTATCGTCCTGCGAGAAGCCATCGGTGCCCGATTGTATAAGCGACGACGATTGTCGTTCGAGCGAAGGCTGCAGACCGGACGCGCTCGGCGTGTTGAAGTGTATGTCGCTCTGCGACGGCTTCACCTGCACCGCGAATTCCCGCTGCGTGGCGGAGAATCATCACGGCCGTTGCGAATGCCTGCCGGGCTATACCGGAAATCCGAACGATCGTCGCGGCTGTCACAGCCCCCGTGAGAATCGTTGCTCCACGGACAGCGAGTGCGCGGAGGATCGGACGTGTCGCGGCACGCCGGACGGCCCGCTCGCTTGTCTGCCGGTTTGCGACTTCATCACCTGCGGTCCCAACGCGCTCTGCGTCGTTAACAATCACGTGGCGAACTGCGAGTGTCCGCTCGGGCAGTACGCCGGCGATCCGAACGACCCGACGTCCGGATGCCGCGCCGTGCCTTGCGTCTACAACATCGACTGCCCGCCGACGCAACTCTGCAATCGGCTCACGCACACCTGCTACGACGCCTGCGACGAGAATGCGTGCGGCGTGAACGCAGTCTGCATCGCGGACGATCACAAGGCGATCTGCCAGTGCCCGCCCGGGCTCCGTCCAAACCCGGTGCCCGACGTCGAGTGCGTCGCCGTGGAGGCGTGCCGTCCGGACTCCTGCCATCCGACCGCGCTCTGCGTCGCCGGTCCAAAGAACAATCCCGTGTGTCAATGCCCGCCGAATCACGTGGGCGATCCTTACGTGAACGGTTGCCAGCCAGAGGGATATTGCTCTGGCCCGAAGGATTGCCCGGTGCATTCCGTCTGCCACGAGCATCGCTGCGTGAATCCGTGCGAGAACGCGTGCGGTCTCAATGCGATTTGCGAGATTGTGAATGGCCAACCGAGTTGCAGGTGCATTCACAGGTTCGTGCCGTCCTCGAAGGGGCCGGAACACGGTTGCGTGCGAGTCACCAATTATTGCATCGTGGACGCCGACTGCGAGGACAGTGTTTGTCTCGATGGACAGTGCAGAGGTAATATATTTGATATTTTTATTAAACGAGCGAACAACTAATATACAGTAATATTAAATACTTTATCGGATAGAAAAATCGTTACTTAAGTTTTGAGTTACGAGAAATGGAAAATTTCCGCTGTTTTAGCTGTGTGTCGTTCAGTCGCTGATTGCTCGGATGGAGAGAAATGTATCAACAACAAATGTATGGTATCATGCATTGGGCATTCTCAGTGTCAAGTGGACCAGGCGTGTGTTAGTGGAGGGTGCATCCTCGGCTGCCGCAGTAATAAAAACTGTCCGACTACCGAATCGTGTATCAACAACAAGTGTCAAGGTATGTCGTGAATCACATTACTTCGATTTTTTTCTTGTTTCAAATAATTTTTTATACGCGTTCTGCAGTGTAAATGTTAATCTACAAATACAATTTTTTAATTGATGATTTTTTGAATTTTTTGATTTTTTTTTTTGAAACTAAGGCGGTGGTTCTTGTGAGCTCTAAGGTGAAGCATGAGATTCATGTGTTTATAGATCCTTGCAGTAGGAAAGACGTGTGTGGGCCCAATGCAATCTGTAGTTGCGCGAATCATGCGATCACATGCACGTGTCCTCTCGGCTTCCACGGTAATCCTACTCCGGAGCAAGGTTGCGTTCGAGTGCCCAATGCGTGCCAAACTTCACAAGATTGTCCCAGCCAGCATCTATGTGTCTCCGGATTATGCCAATGTCAGTGTTCAGAGCAGAACAATTGCGCGCAGGGCGAGCGCTGCAAGAATGGTATTTGCGTGAAAGTTTGTTACAGCGATAGTAATTGTCTACCTGGCGAATTGTGTATCGATGGCACCTGCGAGGCGGGTTGCACCTCGGATGTCGGTTGCAAGCGCGACGAAGTGTGCATTAACAACAAGTGCAGGTATTATTTTTTTTAATCTAGATTTAGATTTTTTTCAAATTATTTATATATCACGTTTATAATTTTTGTTGAATGAATTTATCCGATTATTTCTGCCTCAAATTTTTGCTTCACTTGCTTCTTTCAGATGCAGCCATGGATTCATTTCCGGTCCTGAACATTGTCTGGACATCAACGAGTGTGACGATCAACCATGTCATCCAAGTGCTGAGTGCATTAATCTTCACGGATCTTATCGCTGCGCATGTCCTCACGGCACTGCGGGTGATCCTGTTGGATTGGGCTGCGTGTTGCCGCATCAATGCACCACGCACACGGACTGTCTTGATACGCAGGCCTGCGTGCAACACAACTGTTCGGATCCGTGCTCCTTTGTTAACTGCGGTTTAAATACCATTTGTATCGTTCTGGATCACACGGCTGGTTGCCAATGTCAGCCTGGTTACATCGGCGATGCCTCAGGGTGTTTCAAAGTAGAATGCCTTTCTAACAGCGATTGCCCGACGGATAAATATTGCAATCAAGAAACCAACAAGTGCAGCAGTAAGTTATTATGATAATACATTAACGAATACCGCATGTTCATATATATTTTACTAAAGAAAATAATTTTATAAAAAAAAAAGATTATATAAGTCTTCAAATCTTTCTTTATTCATTTTACTAGGTCCTTGCAATCAAGTAAATTGCGGATATGGCAATTGCTTAGCCATCAATCATATCAGCGTGTGTAAATGCTACCCTGGCTTCACTCTCGTCGGCGACATCTGCGTTGATGTTAACGAGTGTTTGCAAAACCCTTGCCATTCCTCAGCTACGTAAGTAAAACTTACAATTACAAGTTGATTATATGTGTTTATAATTCATAGATTTTTTTTTAAATAAAATATCGAAAAAATTTGTAGATGCCAAAACACGGAGGGATCGTTCGTCTGTGCTTGCCCGCACGGTTTAGTAGGAGATCCATTCAAAACTGGTTGTAAGCAACCCGGCGATTGTTTCACGGATTCAGATTGCCCGAATTCAGCCGCCTGTGTCGACAATAGATGCACTAATCCATGCGACGCACCGGGTATTTGCGGTAGAAACGCAGAATGTCTCGCACGTGATCACGTCCCAATTTGTAGATGTCCCGGACAAACTACAGGAAATCCAGCAGTAAGTTTTAAATTTTTTAAAGCTTGTTTTACATTATTATAATTTATAACTTTAATATTCTCAATCAATAACGACATTTTAATTTTTTTAGTATTTTTATGTACATTATATAGTGTTTTTATTTTATTAAGTTTTATTTATTTTTCTATTTTTATTTGTAGACGGAATGTGTTCATCTGGAATGCAACTATCATAGCGACTGCAGTCCATCGGACGCGTGCTTTGATCATAAGTGCGTTGACCCCTGCTCTCTTTCGAACGTTTGCGGACATGGTGCTGATTGTTCATCGCTTAATCATAGCGCGGTATGCACCTGTCAACCTGGTGGCACAGGTGATCCGAATCTTGGATGCACTCCACTTCAGTATTGCAAAAGTGACTCGCAGTGTGCAACCGGTTCAGTGTGTAATGGAGGAATATGCACAGGTAAATTAATATCGTAATAGTTATAGAAAGACAGTGAATTTTTATTCTCTAATTTTTATTCTCAATTATATGACGTATAAATCTATGAATTTCATATATAATCTCATTGTTATAACTTGCAGCACTCTGTGGAAGTACAAGAGATTGCATTGGCGATCAACTTTGTATCAATGGCCTTTGCCAGCCTACTTGTAGAAGTAACTCTAGCTGCCCAGAATATCAATACTGCCATAATAACATATGTGTTCAAGAATTACGTTGTACTTCAGATAGTGATTGCTCATACGACGAAAAATGCATTAAAAACAATATTGGACAGGTAAATCTTATCTTTCTTTAGATACAAAATTTTAATTACAAATATTTCTTTTTATTAATTCTAGGAAAAAAATGTATAATATTAATTGTTTTCGCATTTCTTTGTCATTCAAGGCTGAGTGTCGTAGAGCTTGCGATTTAATACTCTGCGGTCGTAACGCCGAATGCAAAGCTAATAATCACGCCGCGACGTGTTCCTGTAAGCACGGTTTCTTCGGAAATGCTAAAGACGACAAAATTGGCTGTCAACCCATCGAGTGCGAGGTCAACGATGATTGTACACAAGAGAAGATCTGCGATTATCACAGATGCAGAATCGCTTGCCTCGCGCACAATCCTTGTGGCGTGAACGCTATTTGCACAACGGAAAAACATGTTCAAGTAAGTTTTTTTCATTATTTCGCAACAGGTGTTTTTTTTTTTTTGACGGCAATTTTTATGGTAATGTGCTTTGTGACAGGTTTGTACATGCCAACCTGGATACACCGGAGAACCCACGCGTGCTTGCAAACTGATAGATTACTGTGCGAACGCGCCCTGCGCACCAGGCGCGTTGTGCGAAAACTCCCGAGGTCACTTCAAGTGTCATTGTCAACCCGGCACAGTTGGAGATCCTTATAACAGTGGCTGTCAACCACCGGTAGAATGCCTGCAGGACTCGGATTGTCCGCTAACTGCAAAATGTGTTAATATCAACAACGTTCCGAAATGTTTTGGTATGTGCATCATAAACATCAATTTATTTTATATTTATTTATTATTATTATTTATATTTATATTATTATTTATTGTATTTATAGCCTTTTTATTTTTTATAATACATTTAAGGCCGGTGCTACTTTCGAATAAATTTATTTATTGGTTAAAGCTAGGAATAAGAAGAAGAGAAGGCGAAAGAGTGAGAATAAGCGGAGATTTATCATGAAAGATGGAACAACCCATCTTTAATACTTGTCTATGCGGGATTTAAAATATGTACATTTTATTAATCATATATTTAGATTTAATTTTTCTCATATTCTAGATGCTTGCGCACGTATTCGATGTGGTCCAAATGCAGATTGTGTCGCGCTCAATCATGCCGCCAGTTGCGAATGCCGCGCCGATTATGAAGGAGATCCTAATAGTCTGAGCGTGGGATGTCGTCCGAAACCAGTGAGCTGTTCATCACAAGTCGACTGTTTGGTCAACACCTATTGTTACGAAGGCCTTTGTCGACGTAAGTACTCCAAAATGTTTTTAAAGCAGTCTGACTTAATCAACATTTCTTTATCAATTATTCCATTTATATCAATTTGAACAATCTCTGTGAAAAGCAATCTTTCCAGTATTTAATAAAATAAATATTATCATTTCAGCATCTTGTCAATCGGACGAGGAGTGCAACTTGTCGGACGTTTGCTTGAACGGACAATGCTTAGATCCGTGCGACGTGAGAGGAGCCTGCGGTATAAACGCGGAATGTAAAGTGAGAAGTCATATTAAACAGTGTAGCTGTCCACCGGGCTTCACTGGCAACTCCGAGGTAGAATGTGTAAGATGTAAGTACTTGAACAATTCCAAAATATATTCCGTTCCAACAATTTCTGATCAATCTGTTTGCATATCGCACACGAAACATCTATTATTTGCAGTGCCAGTATCCTGTCTCGGAAGCGGAGACTGCATCGCAGGCAACACCTGTCGCGAGAATGTTTGCCTGCCAATCTGCGTCGTCGACGACGATTGCGCGTTGAACGAGAAGTGCATTCGTGGCAATTGTTTGCTGACTTGCCGGCTGGACAACGACTGCTTCCTGGGCCACATCTGCCTGAACAACATGTGCTCGTTCGGCTGTCGCGCCGACGAGGACTGCAACGCGAACGAGGCGTGTTTAGGGAACAAGTGTGTGAACCCGTGTGAGGCTACGCCGTGCGGACCAAACGCTAAATGCACCGTCTTTAACCAACGTGCCACGTGCTCCTGCCCTACCGGGTTCATACCAAATCCGACCGCGAAGGTCGCGTGTCTGAGAACACCAGGTCCAATCTGCCAGGCAAATCGGGACTGCGCCATAGGCACAGCCTGCATCGCTGGTACTTGCACACCCGTCTGCTCGACCAGTGCGAACTGCTTGAGTAACGAGAGGTGCGACAGTTCTGGCATTTGCAAGTCACTTTGCAGACGGGACGAGGATTGCAGAAGCGGCGAGATCTGCGAGGGTCTGATGTGTGTATCCGGTTGCCGGGCGGATATCGAATGCCAGGACAGTTACGCTTGTATAAACAGCCGATGCATAGGTATGTAATCCTAATATTTTTTTTCGTACATATACGATTATTAATTCCGTCGAAAAATATTAATATCAAATTGAATTTATTTTTGCTTTAATACCTTTGTACAAATATAAGTTTCCTTTATTATATTTTATTTGTCGTCTGTACAGATCCGTGCTCGTTGGCTGGCGCCTGCGGTGTGAACGCTAAATGTACAACTCTCAATCACCAAAAGATATGCACGTGTCCATCGGCTTTAGTGGGAGACGCTCATACCGGATGCAAACAGACTTTCCTCCCTTGTTCATCCGAAGTTGACTGCTTACCGGAACAAATGTGTTACGGCAGATCGTGTTATTCCACATGTAGAAGGTAATAACATGAACATGTACAAATTGCATAACATTATTATGAAATTTTATCGCTAAATATTTGTTACGTATTTCTTTTTCAGCGATGCAAATTGCTTGAGCGACGAACGATGCGATGGCGGCATTTGTAAAGCGATATGCAACAGCGACGATCACTGCGTCGCAAATCAAATATGTCACAATCGCATGTGCGACATTGGATGTCGCAGCGATAACACATGTCCGAGCGACGAATCTTGTATCAACAATCAATGCAGAAGTAAGTTTTACGATATCGCGTATGTTAAGCTTCGAGTGTATCTTGAAGAAACGATTCAATTCCTAAACTTCTATCTTCAGGTCCATGCGAGGGTGGCAAGGCGTGCGGCGAATGCGCCGGCTGTCGAGTGATCAATCACGTGGCTCAATGTAGTTGTCCCGCAAATTATTACGGTAATGCCTTAATCAATTGCGCGAAGACGATGATTCCGTGCGACGGCTCGTGCGAATGCGACGAGATCGGCTTCTGCACCACCAACTGCCACCATCAGGATGATTGTTCTTGCGGCGAGGTCTGTCACAGCGGCAAGTGTCGCATCAAGTGCGATATCAACAACGCGTGTCCAAAGGTGAGTTTTACGAAAAATTTAAGAGATTATATTTTTTTAATTAATATTATAAATTTTAATTTTACCAAACTTTAAACTAAACGCAGGGCTACGTTTGCGATGGAGGTTTATGCTTGGTTGGCTGTCGCACCCATTCCGACTGCCCGTCATCATTGTCGTGCACAAACGGCCAGTGCGAGAATCCATGTTCCGCTCATGGATCGCCCTGTGGAATAAACGCGCTCTGCCGCGTCTCGAGCCATCGTGCGGTGTGCTTATGTCCGGAAGGCTATCAGGGTGAACCGAGCCAGGAGTGCTATCAGCTTGAGTGCCGTCACGACGACGATTGCGAGCCGAACAAACGTTGCAGCGAATTTGGGGTTTGCACAAATCCGTGCTTACAACACGGTGTTTGCGGCTTCAATGCGCAGTGCCGTGTAATTAACAGGAAGGCGCAGTGTTCCTGTCCGCCGGGACACTTTGGCAATCCAAAGATCAATTGCAAGAAAGGCAAGACCATTACTTTTATACAGAAATTATATTTGTAAGTGAAACAATAATTCTTATTATGCGCGTTTTTTTTTTGCGTTTCTTAATCGCTTTTAGGCGGGGACGAATGTTTGCGAAGATCTTGCGGTGTTAATGCTAAATGCCGAGAAACTGTAAATGGTTTCGAATGCACGTGCGATCCGGGATGTCACGGTGATCCGCATCAGGTTTGTCTCTGCGACGGTGATCTTTGCAAGGACACCCGTTGCGGCGTCAATGCAGCTTGTCGAATTTACAAGAATCAACCGCAGTGTTATTGTCCACCGAATCATCCATCGGGTGATCCGATGCACGCATGTATGTATTATATGTTTATATTATATTCATTTAATGATCTAGCATATATTAATAAGAGAAATAGATCTAGCATATATTAATAAGAGAAAAGTATCGGCTGCGTATGATAAGAATTGAGAAACTGTTTTTACATATTATTATTATTATTATTATTAAATTATTAAAGTAATATATAAGTGTGACCACTCGATATCTTAGAAATATATTTTAATTAACCGTGACAAAATGAATATTTGTCATTAATTTCTTCGGTTGGTATTGTCATTAATAATCTGTTAATAACAGGTAGCTCAGATAGAGATTTAGGAGACTGTCGGACGAATGGATGCGGAAAGAATGCCGAGTGCATTAGGGACGGAGCTATATTCGTTTGCCGATGTCCACCAGGTACAAGCGGTTCGCCAGATATTGAGTGCACAACAGGTAGGAAAATTCGGCCTACTAACTTTTTAACTTGAGCAGGTTGATTAATTTTATGTACAGCATTTGTGACTAGCGAGCAATACTGACAATCACAGGAACATGGTCCGTAGAATAACCATGTATCGTCTAATAGGACTTGAGTAATACATAGACGTATTAATCGAGTGAAAACGTTAACATGATGAGACAGATGTGATTGGAGCAGTATGTCGCCACGACATTGGATATATATATATATATGTATACATATTTTACCCACAAGCAAAGAATACAACATTACCTGTACATATTATACGATATATAGAACATACTGTACATAATTATGAGATGAGAGAACACATTTCACACATATCTCACACATAACTTCATATGTAGAATGTTTATTTCAGTATCCAATCTGTCTTGAGGATATAATTGAATAAACAAAAAGACACTCATTTGCCTTCAAGTGCCACTTGAATACAAGGAGGTACACATTTACAATGGACACCGTATATCTCTATTTTAGGATTAATACAGATTGGGAACTGCGAAAGGGACATTCTCATATACCCATGCTTGATATTTGCTGATATTCACGGGTTATTATTTCCTCCTATTCTGAAATCTGTGGGGGCTTGTGTTGTAAATATCGCTGCTTGCCGTTGTAATTTCTCTAAGAAGATGTCTGATGTTTTGAAAAAGTGTAAAGTCGTTACTCTATTACTTCTTCACAGAGCCTACCCTACTTTCATCATAAATACAAAGCATGTGGTTTATGTTATTTGTGAGAAAGTTTCTTTTCACAGTTCTTATAAATGCTTTTTTCTTTTTTTTCCTGTCCCATCACCCACGACCCACCGACTCTACACCGACTTGAACACCATTATCGTGACAATAGAGCGCGAATGCACCAGCGACTTAGAGTGCCCCAATGAAAAAGCCTGCATAAATCTACAATGTCTGGATCCGTGCGCGCTACGCGGTGCCTGTGGGATCAATGCCCTGTGCCGAGTGGTTCTGCACAAGCCGCGTTGCTCGTGCCCGCAGTGCTATATCGGCATGCCCCATACGGCCTGCCATCCAGATTCCAAATGCGACACGCTCAATCCCAAACCTACGCCGAGCATCGGTTGTTCCTCCGATTACGACTGTCCGGAGAGTCTCTCCTGCCACTCCCAGACAGGCGAGTGCCGCGACCCATGTTTGAGCTCTCGGTATAACTGTGAAGTCAACAAGAGGTGTCAGGTGCGGAATCACAAACCTATGTGCGTTTGCAAATACGGCTTCGTAGTCAACGAAATCGGGGAATTGACCTGCGCTCCCGACACACTTACCTGCTCGAGGGACTTCGATTGTCCCTCGAACGCCGCGTGCGTCAACGGAAAATGCCAGAATCCCTGTAACGTACGAAACAAAAGACCATGCCCGGCTGATAAAACCTGCGATGTCCTGGACCATCGTCCCGTGTGCATTTGCACCAAAAACTGCAATCCCTCCCTCTCCATTTGCCTGCGAGACAGTGGCTGCTCTCCAGACTTGGCGTGCCGCAACTATCGCTGCGTGGACCCATGCAGAAACTCCACCTGTCCGGCTGATGCCCCCTGTTACGTGGAGGAGCACAAGCCTATCTGCAAGTTCTGTCCCCCCGGCTTTGTGCCAGATACTAAATACGGATGCATGAAAGGTAAACACAATTTCTCAGAACACTATCTGAGTCTTGTCATATCTCATAGCCGTTATCACGTCTTTACATTGCCTAGCCTTACACGAAACATACAATTGCTACTTTTCAGGTTTCTAATCGTACAGACAACAGAATATGCATAAAACTTACCCTTCATTTCACTTATTCTTAGCTTAATTTTTTTTTAAATTAACGAGATTGCTTTTTATGAAGTTACGATTGGAAGATGTCTTTGTTCTGTTATCTGGACGCATATTTCAGGTTCTGAGTTACAGATACAAAAATTTCCCATATCCTAGATTCCCGCTCTATTCTACTCGCCGATTTCTTCACTATTGAAGGATTCTTCCGTTACATCTGTCTCTGTAAAGACTTAATAATATTTCTTATAATCAGCTTACTTATTATTTGCGAGCATGCTAACTCTTAATTTGTAGTAATTGAAATAAGCTGTAAACTTATCTGTAGCCTAATCTAATCAGAGTCGCTCCCCGATTTTACAGTTTTGCCACTTTATCAGATATTATGTTTACGTTATATTGTATCCGCAGCAGTTCTTCATCCCATGCCCAAGCCAGTTTGCGAGTTCGATGATGACTGCAGCGACGCAGAAGCCTGTGTCGAAAGCTCCTGTGTTGATCCTTGTATCAACGAATGTCAACTGGCAGTTCAATGTCGGGTTGAAGCGCACAGGCCTATTTGCGATTGCGATTCTAATGACAAACGTTGTTCATTTGCAACAACATTGTCTTCTATAGATTTAAATCATTTTGAAAACGTTACAAATATGACGTTACAAACAACAACAGGTGTTACCGTTCCGTCAGCTACATCACCTATTTCAACAGAGATAATAACTATTATATATACGGAAGCAAGCACGATTACTTCAACTAATGTTGAAAATTTACTAGAAAATATTACTACTGAAATGACAAGTGAAATAGATATGACTATTTTTGACAAAAGTACTGAAATAACAACGATTTTTAAAACAACGGATATAAATAGCGTTGCAGAAGTTCCTGAGAATATAACTACAGTTCCTACAGAAGTTCCTAATGTAAGTGTTGAGGAAACATCAACAATAGTAAGCACTACACAAGGTTCCACTAGTACTACGCAATATCCTATTACTACAGAATTTAGAGAATTAACAGTGAAGCCATTAGAAAAAAGCACTGAATCACATATGGAAACTACTAGCGCAATGACTACTACGACATTTTTTACTTCAAAACAGAAGTCTACTATAGAATATTACAATATTACAGAAGGATACTCTACAGAACAATTTACATCACAGCAAACAGAAGGATATACTACATTTACACAACCTACAGAACAAATCTCCACCACGAACCAATACAGCTCGTCTGAATATTCTACAGAAGGATATTCTACAACAGAACAGTTTACAACATCACAACAATCCACAGAACAATATTCTACTTCAGAATATTATGCTTCAACTGAAAAGTCAACAGAACAGATTTCTACTGCAGAAGGATATTTCACTACAAAACAGTTTACTACTGAAGGATCTACAGAACAAATTTCTACTACAGAAGAATATTCTACTACAGAACAATTTAAAATGTCTGAGCAACCTACAGAACAACATACAACTTTGAAATTAACTACAACTGAAGAAGCTGGAGAACGTATCTCTGCTACACAATATTATAGCACATCAGAACATGTCGTAGAAGAACATTCCACGATAGAACATGTTACAGAAGAACAATCCACTACAGAACATGTTACAGAAGAACATTCCATTACAGAACAGTTTACAATACCGGAGCAAACAGAACAATACACTACATTCACACAGTTTACAAAAGAAAGCTCTACGAAACAATATAGCACTCCGGAATATTCTACAGAAAAATATTCTACAGAACAATTTACAACAACACAAAAATCTAACAGAACAATATACTACTTTAAAACAATACACTTCAACTGAGCAATCTACAGAAAAGTCTACTACAAAGGAATATTCTACTACAGAACAGTTTACAATACCAGAACAAACAGAACAATACACTACTTTTCACACAATCTACAGAAGAAATTTCTACTACGAAGCAATATAGCACCCTCGGAATATTCTACAGAAAAATATTCTACAACAGAACAACTTACAACACAAAAACCTACAGAACAATATACTACTTTAAAACAATACACTTCAACTGAGCAATCCACAGAGAAGTCTACTACAGAGGAATATTCTACTACACAACAATTTACAGTACCAGAGCAAACAGAACAATATACTACTTTTATACAATCTACAGAAGAAATCTTTACTACGGAGCAATATAGCACCCCGGAATATATTACAGAAAAATATTCTACAACAGAACAACTTACAACACAAAAACCTACAGAACAATATACTACTTTAAAACAATACACTTCAACTGAGCAATCTACAGAGAAGTCTACTACAGAGGAATATTCTACTACAGAACAATTTACAGTATCAGAGCAAACAGAACAATACACTATTGTTACACAATCTGCAGAAGAAATTTCTACCATGAAGCAATATAGCACTCCGGAATATTCTACAGAAAAATATTCTACAACAGAACTTACAACACAAAAACCTACAGAACAATATACTACTTTAAAACAATACACTTCAACTGAGCAATCTACAGAGGAAGTCTACTACAGAGGAATATACTACAGAACAATTTACAGTACCAGATCAAACAGAACAATATACTACTTTTTACACAATCTACAGAAGAAATCTTTACTACGGAGCAATATAGCATCCCAGAATATTCTACAGAAAAATATTCTACGACAGAACAGCTTACATCACAAAAACCTTCAGAACAATATACTACTTTAAAACAATACACTTCAACTGAGCAATCTATAGAGAAGTCTACTACAGAGGAATATACTACAGAACAATTTACAGTACCAGAGCAAACAGAACAATATACTACTTTTACACAATCTACAGAAGAAATCTTTATTACGGAGCAATATAGCACCCCGGAATATACTACAGAAAAATATTACTACAACAGAAAAACTTACAACCACACAAAAACCTACAGAACAATATACTACTTTAAAACAGTACACTTCAACTGAACATTCTACAGAAAAGTCTACTACAGAAGAGTATTCTACTACAGAACAGTTTACAATACCAGAGCAAACAGAACAATACACTACTTTCACACAATCTACAAAAGAAATTTCTATTACAAAACAATATAGCATCCCGGAATATACTACAGAAGAATATTCTAGGACAGAAAAACTTACAACTACACAAAAACCTACAGAACAATATACTACTTTAAAACAGTACACTTCAACTGAATATTCTACAGGGAAATACTACAGAGGAATATTCTAC